CACACACCTAAAGATCCGTGGTGTAATCATCAAAACAAAGGGCAGGGGATCGTGTGGCGTGAGCACTTGTAATCCGTGGTGTAATGCCATACCTCTGGAAGTAATTCTAAAAATCATGGTTGACATATTCTCCACCATTGTCGGAGCAGAGAATCTGGATCTTAGTAGAGAACTGAGTTTCAATATGTTTGTGGAAGGACTAAAATAGAGTAAACACTTCATTTTTATTCTTCATCAAGTAGAGCCATGTCATGCGAGTACAATCATCCACAAACGTTAAAAACCATCTAAATCCAGAAGAAGTAGATATAGGTGATGAACCCCAGGCATAATAATGAATTAAAGCAGAAGGAACATATTCATACTCAAAGGATAAGATACTTAGTGACTCTTGGCTAAGATGCAAGTGTCAGAATCACTAAAATCGAAAAACAAATCGGGTAACAAATGTATCATATAACCAAAAGATGGATGTCCCAAACGTCGGTGCCAAAGCCAAATTTGTCGGTGCTTGTCACACTATTTGCCCTTCCCATACTGAAGTCATCCACATAGTAAAGCCCTCCTTTTCTAGTACCACGACCAATTATTTCCTTGGTGAGAATTTCCTAAAGAAAATAAAAATTGGGGTAAATTAGTGCATAACAATTCAGTTGCTTAGTAGCCTGGCTAACATATATCAATTTATTGATAGAGACAGAACAAAAAAGTATTCGAAAGTGAGAGAGAAAGTGAAAGGGCAATGGTGCGCGCCCTTGTCACATAATAAGTAACACCATTTGCATTTGCAATAGCTGTTCATCTTGGTTAGGTGGGACTTAGAAAGTCATTAGGATCAAATGTCATATGGTCAGTCGCACATGAATCAATGAACCATTTGTTAGAAGTATGCCCTGAAAGCCAATCATTAGATGAAATCTTTCATGGAAACTTCATTTAAACCAATTATTTAGGTTAACACAAAAGGGCAAATATGTCAACATAGGTAATGGTCCATGCATGACCATTGACCTATTTGACAAGTCCATAAATTAATGAGATAAGGAAAGTGATGTAAAGAGGTTGGATGCAAATGGACCTTTCCCTATAACTCAGACATAAAATGTTCTCGGTCATAGGATCGTTCAACTGGGCATTGACAAACCGCAAAGATTGGTATGCAATCTATCTGCTCAACGAGGAGGATGACTAGTCTTGAATCATTCATGTGTGAACACTAAGATAAGTGCATAGGTTCTTACTAAGGAGTGAGTTCACTGAACGCGATCAAACTAAGGAATCTTGTATGGAAGTTCTACTTGTATGTCAAACAAGATTTCTTCGATTGCAATAAGGCAAGGTTAATCCTTAGACCTGAGGCACCATGGTTGCCTTATGGATGAATAGTCGGTCTTTGATTGTATCATAAGGTTGAGCTCATCTTTGGGCTCGATTCAAGGTAATGTTGAGATCGTTGACAAGTCCATAGAGGCCAGTGAGTGTACGACAAGGTATCTCAACTTCCAGTAAGAGGAAGAGAATGTTCTAAGATTTGATTCAGTAATCTCCGACCATAGTTGGCCAATAGAGATCAAGTTAGGGATTTGATATGAATTATGTATCCTATTAAAGAGATCAAGAACATTGTGAAATAGAGAAGGATTGGATTGTGTTGTAATTCCAACTAAATGGGTTCTAATATATTCTATATTAGCTTGGGTAACCGTGATACGTTACTAGACGTCACTCACAGTTTGTGGATGCCCTAAGGATATTCCGTAATTGGGTCCTCATAAAGGGAGAATTAAAAAGGGAAATTTTTAATTCATAATCGATAAAAGAAAGAGTTCATGATCGCCCCCGGCCTCCCTAATTAGAACCCAATGGATCGCACACCTATAAGCTTACGATTTGGATAATAATGGAAGATGACAAGATCAACGGTTAAATCAATTAATTAATTTGATTAATTGATTAAAAGAAAATTAATTAAAGAGTTAATTAATTATGTTGAAATAGAATGGGCCTAAGAATAGTTTGAGAAACTAAAGGCCCATGGAATTTTAGCAAAGGGGTCTTGAGAAGAGTCAATTAGGACAAATTAGACCAAGATGCCCAAGAGAAAACCCACCCCCCTATGCCGTCCAAATGGAGAGAGAGGGAGAACCCTAAGGTTCTCCCATATGTTCTATATATTCACCACTTAGCTCATCTTTCTCCCTAGGGTTTGAAGTAAGAGAAAGCATCATTATCTCTCTTCGTAAGGCAAGCTAAAATCGGTCCTAAGAGTAGTGTTACCAGCACCACATACTTCTCTTGTGTATCATCTTCATTCCAAAGAGAAGGCTTGGTGTGTAGACTTTGGAGGTCACTACTTTTTGGCTTGGAGGAGAAGTAGAAAGTGGATCTTACCACCATCACTTGGTGGAATACTTGGGTTGGACTCAAGTTGCGCTCCAAGGGTGAGTTTCTATTTACCTTCCTCTCTTGAATCTCAAGTATGGTAGTTTGCAATGCACATCAACTCTTTGAACCTTAAGATCCCTTGAAAGGTTTTGTTTTTAGGCTCTAGGATTTTTTTTAAAGTCTTCCATTGCCTATCAAATGAATTATTGATAATCTAGATGTCTAAATGAACCTTCTTTTTGAGAAAAACACAATCTATTCTTCACCATCTAGTGGAGTCACTTGTATCAGAAGTATGAAGTACTTAACCGCAGTTACATGTGTCACTAAGGGTCTTGGAGCCATCATCAAGTGCCAGAGTACTGGTAGATCCTACCTGAGGAACACAAGATAACCGGGGTTCTTATGTGACAAGAGCGGCACGACCGGAACCACTGGCAACTTCTCTGATTTTTCGAGGATGTAGTCCCTCCTACCATTTTGGATAGCCACTCAACTTAAAATAAGTTTCACAAGTGTGATTTCGGTTGCAACAGTGAGTGCAATGGCCTTCTTCTGTCGGAGCCTTTAGTCGAGAAGGTGCAATGGTCTTCTTCACAGGTGAGCGAGCACCATGGCATATGACTGCATTTGAAGCGGTACAACATGAGTCAGATTCAGTGTTTGGCCGGGTCGACCAGTCGCTGAGGGTTGGTCAACCGGTCGTTGTGCATTATTTGTCGCCAAACTAGCTCCAATTAGTGCCTGAGTGCCGATCATCGCAGCCTGTTGAATATCATCCTATCGAACATATACATATGTGTAACAAGTTGCATTTTACCCTTGAAGTTAAGAGAATTTTGGTCCTTTTTGGCTGGGAGTTAAGTTCAAAATTTGAGTTGCACCATTGTGTAGAGCTCGCTCTCACGTGTTCGTAGACGCGTAGTGGGCTGGATTCTGAGTTAAATTGAGAAAGTTATGGTCTAAAAATATTTTGGGTAAAATAGGAATTTTGGAAGGTGGGTTAAAAACCACGAAACCCTAGTGTGCACCCAACAAATTCCTCTCACTACCTTCTATCTCCTCCCTCGCGACTTTCTCTCTCTTCCCTATCTTGCAGTGAACAATGACAACGTCACTTCCCGGTGACTTTTGACCACCGTCCATTCAATTTTTGCCATGCCGTCTTCATCAAAAAGTTTCCACAAATGGAGCTGCCGTGGGTTGCCAAAGGAGAGCTCGATGGAGGTGATAGTTAGCAAGAGGACTTCACAAGACAAACACCTATTATGGGTGAGGGGCTCCAACGAATCTCAATGTTGGCAAATTGAGGATCGCTATTTGGGGTTAGCCATGAGGCTCTAATATCATGGAAGATTTTGGTAATTCTCTAATATTTGATTGATTATATTCATCTCCATAAGAGGAGGTATTTATACAAGATTGATAATAATAAACTAGAGATAATATAAGTTGGTACAACTAATACAAAGCTTAATAAACATAAAGCAATATAGTGGTAGATAGTGGGTTGTTGGATCGGTGTATGACAAGAAGACAATGGTTGTTTTGGAATGCTTCTGGAAGGGTTAAAAGCGCTTTATGACAACTAAAAGTGCTTCTCACAGCATTTGGCAGAAAAGTTTAGAAGCGCTTTGGGATCATAGAAGGAAGCACTTGGATTTTTTTATTTATGAAAATTCAAGATTTTCATAATAAAAAGCGCTTTTGTTAGAAGTGCTTATGAGCAGAAGTACTTCCTACAGAAGCAGTCCCAAACAAGCCCTAAGAATAATAAAAAAACTACTCCTTGAGCCGAAAAAATAATGTGGCCATGGAAAGCCAACAACACGATCATATTTGGTGGAGTTGAAAAAACTAACGAAATTGCCAGTAATCGCAAGCAAACTCAGATCCGAGATTGGCAAAATCCGACAACGAAATCGACGATCAAACCAAGGCCAACGAAGGCCATCAACAACGAGAGAAAGAGAAAAAGAGAAGTAGAGAGAGAAACTAAAAGGAGAAAAAGGAGAGAAACGAAAGGAGCAATAGAGACAGAGAAAGAGGAAAAGGAGAGGAGAGAAAAAAGAGAGAAGGAAAAATGGAGAGAAGAAAAGAGAGGAAGATAAAAAAGAAGAGGAGAGAAAAAAAGAGAAGGAAGAATGAGAGAGAAAAGAAAAAGGTTTGTCCAAAAAAAGGAGAGAAAAGAAAAGAGAAAAAGAGGAAGAGAGAAAGAAAAGTGACGGAAGATAAAGTTTACTTTGACAACAAGGACAGCTTTATGGTACCATTTGGTTCTTATCTCGGTGACGCAATGGATAAAATTATGTAATGTTCAACCCAAAAAAAAAATTATATAAGGACACGGCTTCCCTACTTACTTAGAATGAGATATTCCTATTTTCTCTAAATCAAAATTTGACATGAGATATTCCTATTTTCTCTAAATCAAAATTTGACACATATGCAAAAATAATTCATAAAAAACACTAGAAGAATTTCAGCACACATGTCAAATTGTGATTAGTAAAGTAGGAGTTTCTACTTTCAGTGAAGTGAAGGAGGCAAGTATTTTCCATATCCAATGAGGAAAAAGAGAAAAAGGACTTGGCGGAATTTGTAAAACCAATATGCCATAATTAAGTGACTCTCTTTCTCTCTCTCTCTCTCTCTCTCTCTCTCTCTCTCTCAGAGTCAGACCAGAAAACGAAGTGACTCTCTCTTCCAGAGGTTTTAGGGTTCAATACAAGGATTTAAAAAGAAGAATAGTTTATCTGCCAAATTATAATTTCCGCTACTTCTTTTTATGAAGACTCTCTCTCTCACGACAGAGTCGTCAGTTGGAAGGTAAGTACGTCTCCGTTATGTTATGCGTATTTATTCTACTTCATTTACAATATATTTAAGGGATTGAGCTTGGTAGAGTGAAGGAGGAGGAAGAGGAGGACCTTGTGTCTGGGACATTCACCTGGAGAATCGACAACTTCTCCACGCTGAACAAGCAAAAGCATTATTCTGATGTTTTCGTCGTTGGTGGCTATAAATGGTAGACTCTTTTTTTCTTTTCTTTTTTTTTTCTGGGATAATAATTGGTTAGTATATAGACTTAATCGTCTTGGGTTGGTTTGATCAGGCGGATCCTTATATTTCCCAAGGGGAACAACGTAGATTACTTGTCCGTGTATTTGGATGTTGCAGACGCTTCAACATTGCCATCTGGGTCGACCAGATATGCCAAGTTCAGGCTCACCCTGGTTAATCAAGTTGATAGCAAGAAGTCAATCACAAAGAGTATATATCTTTTCTGCTCATGACCATGTTGTTTATTTCGCAACTCGAATTTATGCTGGATTTTTATGTTGTGGCTTGTCATTTGTTAATTTAACTTGTTAAATGGAATTGAGTGATTCTTTTTCCTACAATTTTTTTTAAACAGTCCTCCCTCTATCTCCTTAGATATGATCTGGATGGTTCATCTGCTACACTATATATTACTATGCGACATCAAAATGCTTGTGTTAAAATGTGCAAGTCACTTGCATTAATTGTACTTCATCTTATTCTGCATTTTTCATTCTTCAGGTCCAATGTCTTTCCCCTTGTCTCAATCAATTATTTATTTTGTTTGTTCTATTAATGGACGAATAAGTATGAAAATGGTAATGACCCTGTGATCCTCTGTGATTGAGAGATTATAGGCTGACCGAGATGGCACATTTATATATACGTATGTGGCACATATTGTTTTCCAGTAGTCTAAGATTGTTTCATGATCAATCATGATGGTTTTCACACATTAGTTCATATTGTTCTTATTACTTCCTATTGTTGCGGTCAGGCATGCATATGACTCTTTTAGTTGTTTTTGTGATGTCACCTAGTTCCTAGGCATGCGAGGCCTAAGTTGTAAACTTGTAGAGTGCAAAACTAATAAGTTTTAGTAATCTTTAATGGAGAAATTCTAGCATCAGCCAATTTGAGTTTTTGTTCAAAATTTTGTGGCATATTTATTCTCTACTAAATACATTAGGGAAGAGTGTTTGGAGTTCTGAGGATCATCGGTCCAACGTTTTAGTTTTGTTATGGTTTTAGATTTTTCTGCAATGGAGTACTGATATATGTGGTTCATTTAACTTCCTAGTATATATGTGCTCCAGGTAAATGTTGGAGAATAAGCTATACTGTAATTAAGGCTTTTAAGTCAGTCAAATATTTTCTTACTTGTTATGTTTCCTATTTATCTATTCGCTTCAATGGGCTTTCTATATCATTCATATTGCTTTATTATCTGTTCGTTTATATGCTTGATTCTTGGTTAAAGTTTTGTGATCCTTAATACATTTCATTTCATAGATACAGAACATGAGTTTGTGGCAAATGACAATGACTGGGGCTTTACATCATTCATTCTTCTAAGTGAGCTTTGTGATCATGATAAAGGGTATCCTGTCAATGATTTCTGTGTTGTTGAAGCCGAAGTTTCAGTTCGTAATGGCATTAAGATTTTAGAAGACCAAGAAACTGGGGAGCTTATCGATTTTAGGGGCTTAGGACGAGTAGAGAAAACTTTTGTTCCATTTCTAGAGGAAGTTTGTTCATCGTATCCTTCCTTGCTCGAGTGCCATAAGAAGAGAAGTCGTACGTTTATTCAATGTGCATTCACAGCTTTGGGCCGACTCTTGTGTTTTCTGAAGACTACAAAGGCCAAGGATATGACCCGTGATGCTTGTAAACGCCTTCAACTGTTATGGGAGGAGCTTGAGACCTTCAAATTTGACTTGGTTTGGCTGGAGCCTCATGTTCAATCGGTTTTGGTCATGAAGAAAAGGGCAGGAAGAGTTGATAGACTGAGAGAAGATGTGGAAATTTTGGAGAATGAAATAAAGAGGCGAAGGAATGTCCTCGCTGCTGCGGAAGTTGATCTTGAGGCAGCGAAAAGAGACTTGGCAAAGGCAGACGAAGAGTTCAAGAAGATAGATATGGATACTGAGCTAGGCTATCCATTAACTTAATTTACTGTACAAGTCAGGGCCAGTGAACGTAAGATATTGAAGAGCACCAACCAACCTACGATACATGGTAGCGTGATTTTTTGCGCTTTATTCAAAAGTAGTTTTGTTAAGTGATATTTGTTTGGTGTCATTTTTTTTTTCTTTGGCTTAATTATATTTGGTGTTATGGGCGCTACTTGTTTACTATGTATTTATGGGTTTGACTTTGACCCTTGATGTAGGTAGAAGAATGAAGAATGAGAAAGGAGCTTGTATCCGGGACATTCACATGAAAAATTGACAACTTCTCTAAGTTGAATACGACAAAGCTTTACTGTGACGTTTTCGTCATTATTGGTTATGACTGGTACCTATTTGGCTATACCTCCAATTTACAAGCGCATAATTTTGTACTTAGATATTTATGATGGTGAGTTTTTATTTTCTATAGCCTAAATTGACTTGGTTGGTACAATCAGGAGGGTCCCACAGGAAACAAAGTAGCTGTTTGTATCATAATCAACCGAGTACATTCGGTATTGGGAGATCAGTGCGCAGACAGACCCCTAGATTGATGACACCGTCATGATCTCAGCTACTAAAGACACTTTTTCTCTGATGTGGTAATTGCCAACCGAAGGCGATTGCCGAAGCTCTCAACTACATAACCTAAGCCTTGGACACGTGTCGCCACCAGAGTGACTTGCACAAAGTCTCACATCAAAACTTTGTGCAAACTCCCATTTTCATTTCTCTATAAAAGAAGAATAGTGCCCAGGTAAAAAGGGTAACTACTTTTCATCTTTACTGTTACTCTGCCCAAATTACTGTATGCCCCACACTTGCTGAGTTAATCATCGGAGAGTCTTCGACATGTACCGTACTGATATCCGAAGCTTGACGATTGCTTCTTCCATCTTTCTTCTGCAAGATGAGCTTCTCGGCCAAAGGTTCATAACCCCTTATTGAGAGTCCGGATAAACATCTTTAGGTCATGTCTTCTACAACACAATTGTATAGCGCCCTCAAAGACAAACAACATGGCCACAAGACATCTATGATGTCCCAGGTCTAAGGATTAGTTTGCACCATTGCAATCTATGAGTTCTAGTTTGATATGTGAGTAAAGACTTCCATTTTAGAACTCACGTATTTGATCGCGTTCAATGGTATATATTCCTAGGCCTATAGTTGTTTTATTGTTGTTGAGGCCCAAAACATCCAAGGCTAGGCCCAAACATATTCCTAGCCCAGTGCGACACCTTATTGAAAGGAAACTCGATTTAGGGTATGCGAAAGTTCCTCGTACGCGCTCGCACGAGTCACAGTCCACATGCCACACCAAGCAAATATGTAACCCATCATGCTAAGAGTTGTAACGAGCCTGTAAAATGTACCGGCTCTATGAACTCATGCTTATTATCCCATCAAACTTCATTTTGACTCGACCATAGCTCTTTACAATGCGACAAAATTCGAGCACGCCAAACAACATGCAATGCAAAGCGGAAAATCCTTATTTTGGTCCTAGCCACGCTACAAGCTTAAGTGGGCCCAAGCCACTCAAATGCTTAGGGCTTGCTGAGTGGGTTGTGGTATGGATGGTTACGAGCGTTCATGAGGCCCATTGATAGGCCAAGAAGTGGAAGTTTTGGGCTGCTTGGGAGCTCCAAACTCGAGCCCATTTCTTAAGGCCAAATATGTGGGTAAGTATGAAAGAGAGAAAAATAACTCATCAGCTTAGAAAATTAGCCCGTCACCATAGGAAGTGGCCCAAACAACTTAGAAAATATCCCAGGAAGTCTCTAGCACATGGCCAAAGACAAATCCAAGACAGACCATCTGTAAAACCGAAGGATACTTGCGTGTGCAGGCTGCTGAGAGCAAAACACCCTTCAGACCAACACCTTTACCCACTTCCTTCGCCTACCAGCTCTTGCCATAAAATAAGGAATGAAAGAAGAAGAGAGTGTTGCCAGAGATAGGAGATTGCCACAGGGACAGCTGTGGGAAGACTGTAGAGCTCCAAAAAATCTTGTCTCTGTGTGTTTGGATTATGGGGATTTCACATAATTGGGATGAATCAAAGTAAGAGAAGAGGAATGGAGGGGAAGACTTGGCAGATACGGGAAGAACCAGCTAGGGTTTCTTGGGAAGGAGGAGCTTCTAGTGCCTATAAAATGGGACATCTTCTACCCATCAAATCACCACATCCAGAGAGAGCAAGCATTCCCTCTCACTACTGGAACCCTTCAATTTCGAGCTCTGTTCTTCCATTTCTTTCCCTTTTCTCTTCTGGCAAACCACCCAAGAGCGTGACGAAGCTTTCGTCAAGCTGCTGGAAGTGTGCTCAAGTCACCCACATATTTTCCTCTATTCCATCAACAAATCTTCCCAAAATTCCCTCTCCTACTGCTTTGAACCTCTGTTTCTCATAGGAAATCCAAGCCTTCGCTCTCTAATGCTAAACTCATGAATGCTCAGCTCCCATGCCACAAGCTCCTCAAGCTAAGCCAAAATATTTATCTGTAAGCAATTGTTGGTTTTGTTGGTGAAGGAAACCAAAGTGCTTTCTTAGGCTCCACGAACCTTTCAAAGCACTCTTAGGGCTTGACTCTTGAACTGAGACACATGGGCAACTCCACCCATTTGCTCTTTACAGCAACCCAGGCCCATCTGTAGCTGTTGGAACAAAAAACCCCTGCATAAAGTGGCGACTCTACTGGGGATTGGGCCACTATCTTCATCAATGCCTGCAAGGAAGAAGACCATAAGCAATACCATGGCTTCCCAAGACGAGCTGAACCACGGTGACTCGGAGTTAAGGCAAAATGCCTCACTTATAGAAGAAGAACATGCAAGTGAGGGAGCTTTCACCCTCACAGACCTCATTGCAGCCATCCATGCTATGAGGGAAACCCAGAGGGAGATTGTGGACACAATCAAGGAACTAAAAAGTTTAGTATCCAAGCCGAGTGAAGAAAACGAAAGACCTCCCCAAGAGGAGTCTGCCGCTGCCAGAAAGGGTTCTAAATAAAAGGGGCCATATTTTGTCACTCACGAAGATGTCATCGCCATGCTGGAGAAGGAACTAAGCGAAGCCAGGAGGATTGGAAGTATGTCCCTCAGTCGCCGTATCCATCAAGCTTACTCCAGTAGCCATATCCCAAAGGCTATGAAGCACCATGCTTTGTCCTTTTCGATGGAATGAAAGGAAGCCTGAAAGAGCATGACAACTGCTTCATTGATGCTTTGGGACCACACACCGATGATCACAACCTCTGTCTCTGAGAGTTTTCAAAAAGCCTCACCGACCGTGTTTATACGTGGTACACAACATTGGCACCAGGCTCCATTCATTCCTGGGAAGATTTGGCACGCAGGTTATGCAAGAAGTACTTCTAGCATGAGGAAAGAGTCACTACAACTCAACTCAACAACACCCGCTAAAAGCATGGGAAAGACCCTGTGGACTTCGTGGGCCGATTTCGGGACCTGGCTTTAGACTACTATGATGAGAAGGATGAAGAAGCTCTTATCGAAATATGCATAAGTATCATCGTGGCAGACTACAAAGTCTATTTGGAAAATATTTGTCACGCCCCGGACTCGGTGTGTGAGAAAATAAAAAGTAAAATAAAATAAAAAGAAAGCCAAAACATAAAATAGACTTTTCTTATAAAAATAACTCCCAAAATCTTATAACTTTACAATTAATAAATAAAGCTCTATCACTCTCATTTAATTCAGCCTCAACTGGTTTAGTCCTTGTCTTGCCTACTAATTCATCAGAAAAATTAAACAGGGTGAGGGGTGAGCAACCACCGCTCAGTAGGGACATGAGACCTTACCACAGTAGATTGATATAACTAAATTAAGTGACATGCAATCACATAGCCAAATATCACATTAATAATATTAATGCATGAATGCTCTTCATCTAATCCCTTTAATTTATATAACTGGACAAGCAGACCTGCACGTCCCTTACCATGCTTATACCACTTGATCCAGAATGCCCATTTATATGAACTAACACCCATTTCAGTCATCCCATAATTCCCCTTTTGTTAGTCATCTTGTCTAACTCCCTGTCGCTAGTCCCAAATCACCCAATAAAAACCATGTGCATTGTGGGATCCCTGAGATTTGGTACTTGTCAAGAGTTAGACTCAACTACACAAAAGACTATTTCCATTACCCTCTTTTCCATCATTATTTTCTCCAACCAACATCTCCAACTAATTTCCATGACATGATATAGTTCTTCTTTTCACATATCTCATAAAAACAATGTAATCATTTAAATATCACGAATGTACATATAATCCTGCCAATATTAATTAAATAATTAACAATACGTAAACACCCAATATCAAGAACATCCATCAAGTTATAATATCAATCATAATATAGGGCTCACGAAATTTAATTAAACAACAATGTAGCCATTTAAAATATCACCAATGCATGTATAATTATGTCAACATTGTTCAAATAGTGAAGAGTACGTAAACATCCAATACAAGGAATGACAATCAAACTGTACCATGCATAATATAATGCTCACGAATTTTAATTAAATCAATCTCTGTCAAAGGCCCCCCAAGAAATCCCTACCTTGATCTCAAAGCATAAATCCAATTTAGTAAAACACAAGCAAAGCTCTCTATATCCTCCAATATCATATTTTCCTTGCATCTCTCCTTAGTCCTCTCTAACAACTATCACATTGTATGCATGTTATCTCTAGATGTAGTAGTAAACAACTTGTAAATGTAAGCTTTCTATTTATACTAGAATAAACATTCTATCATCACTTAAATAGTCAGCACGTTTTAATCTTGGTGCCAAGGTAATTTTCCTTCCACTCCAAGTCATTACAAGATGAGAATGTATTTTATGAAGACACGTACTAGTGGAATAATGACTCAACTATATCTTTCATTAATATCCCAACAGCTTGCAAGTTTATAATGTTTCTCAAAGCAAAGGAAAACTGTCACCTTCAATTAGTAAATATCTTTCTATGACCCACATCAATAACTCTACACCAAGAATTATAATATTTTAAAACACATTCTAAGACAATAATAATACACACACAAAAGTTATAACATTTTAAAAAGAAAAAGTAATCAAGCAAAAGTAGAATAACAAGTTAAAAGAAGCATCAAGTAAATTGAATGTCGTGCCCCACATCAATAACTCTACACCAACAATTATAATGTTTTAAAACACATTCTAAGACAATAATAATACACACATATATATATATATATATATATATATATATTAAAACGAATCCTCTTATTTAATTCAACATATATAAAAATATAAAAAAATTTAATAAAATAAAATGCTTATAATTACTGGAATAGTACTACAAACGTAAAACAATATATATATATATCCAAGATAATTACTTATATATAATAATGTTTATTCCTCTTTAATAAATATTTTTAAAATTTTTAAATACGGACTCTCACAATATTAGTATCAGCCAATTTTCCCAGCTGCTGGAAGCAGTAAGGAAGACAAGCATATCAGTCAAACCAACCAGACAAAGAACATGGAGGAGTGAGAAGAAGGAAGCACATCAAATGTTAGCTATGGATGACAAGCCGTCCGGTGACTAAAACTCACGCAAACAAAAAGATAGGGAGACGTACCCACCACTGTC